CCCTACTATATAAAGGGGACCTCCAATCACTTGTAAACATCATCTAATCATTGGCAAAGAATATACTAACTTTTTGGCTCATTGTTCAACATAATTATCCTTAGCTTTATTATTCTTGCATTATTGTTCTTGATCCATCTCGAGGCCACTTTGGCTCGAGGTCAAGACTGGTCTACATTCTGGTTTGATTTACTCATTTCTTTCATTTATACATTATACTTCTTGATTATTTATTAGTATTGAACTAAATCACATATCTTTAAAACCACAAATCAAATGTAATTGTTATTCGTATTTTCGAGGTAAACAATTATCTAAAATTACAAGTAATTTGGACCAAATATTTCTTAATAATCATGATAAGTAAAATGGACCTAAGAAAACATATAATAGTATTGCCTTGTAATTAAGCCTTTATTAATTTTCTACATGCAAGTTGACGAATTAACTAACTTAGTACTGAACCCGAAATCACAAGAAGACAGAGCAATGAATCACTAGTTGACCTCGAACTTCATCGTATACACTAATTTCGTCTTGAACCCCCCAAATAATGACTAATACTGCCATTTTCGCCACGAAAATTAATTGGTTAATTAAGGTTTCAAATAAATTCATTAAAGATGCCATTTTTAAAATTTATTTGCTCGTTCTAGAATCTATATACTATTCTTCTTTCTTCTGTTTTATAGTTTTTAGAAACAGATAACACACGTATTATCGTTTTTCGTTTTATTCCCTTTCACTAGCTAGTTATTTAATCATTTTAAGTCACGTTCATTTGAACATTCTCTGCCAAAATAAGTATTGCAAATTATACAAATTAACTCCTGTGCGTTAACCTTAATTCGTAAATTAAATTCGAAATGAATGGTTCCTCTATTCTAAATAGTGTTATATAAAATAAAATGAACTTTGATTTACTTTTAAGATGCATGTATCTTTTGCCATTTTCGTATGAAAAGTTATTTAGTATATATTTTAAGTACATAAACTTTAATTAAAATAATGTACAATAAATAAATTCGACTGAGCTCAAAAAGTCGATTAAATTATTTCTCATTAAGTGAAAGTACATGCCAAATAAATTGCGGGGGATTAATAAGTAAAATAAGGACAATCCTATCCTAGAAACACTCTAATTAAACTTGAATAGTACTAGTAATCAATTACGTTTTGACGTATGGAAATCCGTAGCAGCACTCTAAACTTGTGCCTCTTTTTGTTGGGATTTTGAATAACTCCGTTCTATGCCTCCGTTGCCTTCACGTTTAATTTGATGGTACGACTCCATTCTCCATTAATTCCTCATGTTTTAAATTATTAGTATTTGAATAACTCCATTCAAAATTCATTAGGCCATGTACCATACAGATTCTTTGGTGAAATCGATTTTTTTTAAATACATAATAGACTATATAACTGGAATTATATGAAACGCTGCAAGTAGTCAAGTGCGGAGATATACACAGTGTACTTTATTACAAAATGCATATATATATATATATATATATATATATCGTAGTTCATTCGCATAGCTAAGAACGATCTGAATGGAAATATATTCACTTTTTTCGACGAGAATAATTTAACCTAAGTATATATTTAAGTGTTTCTTTTTATTTTCTTTAAATGTCACATATAAGCATTCAACGGCCATAGATTGTATTAGTATTATGTACTCCTTCTGTTTCATATTAAATGAGATACTTTCCTTTTTAGTCTATTCCAAAATAAATGACACATTTCTAAATTTGGAAATAATTCAACTGTAAACTCTTCATTTTACCCTTTTTGCCCTTAATGAGAAGCTTTTATAGCCACACAAATGGCATGGTCCCACAAACCTTTTACCCCTTAAGCTTTTAAGACCACAACTTTCAAAAGTCTTTTTTTTTTTAAACTCCGTACCGAGTCAAACTACCTCAAACAATATGAAACGGAGGGAGTAATAAAAAACTTCGATTTAGAATTAAATCTTGTATACTTTTATTATTATCCTAGTTATTGATCCATACTTATTACTATAAGAAACTACATTAACATATGGCGGACTTTTAATTAACTTGAGCATAAAAGTACTAAATTATATTGTCTACATGTATACCCAATCAATGTTTTAAAAGGCAAGGGCGTGAAGCGAAGCGTTTTACTTCTAACGAGACGAGGCGTAAGCCCTGAGACATGGGGCGTAAGTCCCACGGATCTTTAAATTTTACTTATTTCAAAAATTTTAAGATATTATAAAACAAAAATAATTATAAATTTACATCAAAATCACAAAAGTATAATAAATAATCTATTTAAAATATTTATAAATTATAATTCAACTATGAATAATACAAAAAGTATGACGTATATCATAATATGCAAATTAACTGCTACATCATTATAACTCAAACATCAAAAGTAATGTATTTGATGCGAAATCTTATATGTATCTCTTAAGGAGTATTAAATCTTGAAAGAATTTCGATATTATAATTTGATTTTTTTTAAATACTCCTTTTGTTTAATATACTTTCTATTTGAAAGAGAATTTATATAAAAATATAATTCACAATTTAAATATGATTCTCTAGCATCATTTATTTTTAAGTTCAACAAGTTAATAAAGTGATACATAATTCACCATACCATATCATGATAACTAATTATTGGCAAATAGTTAACAGCTAATACTGAGCTATTAAATTAATAAGTATTGTATCTCGTAAACGTGAAAAAAATAATATTTGGGAAAATAATTATTAAAAAAATTATGGACTAATATAATAAAGACATAACAAAAATTAATTAATAAATACTTTTAAATGAAAGATTTATTTAAAATCTACATCATAGCAGTCTTAGTGGATAACATGCAATAATTTTTATTTTAATTGTGACATAGAATACTATCAACTTAATCATTTATGATTAAAAAAATGTAATTTTGAATAGTCAACGATTTATTAAGAAAATTTGAGGATTTACAAGGTTAGTTACACACAATTGCATAAAGTTCTACTAGGCGAGCCCAGTACGCTGGGCGTTGGGCGTGTCCGGAGCGTAAGCCCCGACGAACGAGACATAAGTCTCACGGAAATAAGCCCCACACATAAGCCCAGAAGCGTTTTACGAGTGTTCCGCCCCCGGGCAAGCCCCGGACGAGTCCAATTCTGTTTTTTAAAACAGAGTACCCAATAAGTGTTTAGTGTTAGCTATTTGTAAATGAGTATGAACCATCTCATAGAAAAGAGCACAACTGCATTCTTTCTAATTTTGCATTTATGAATTCATACTTACTATCAAACAACTGCATGTAATATAGTGGCATATTAAGTAATTTGAGTGCAAAAACACTAAACTGTCCACATATATGAAAATTAAACCCAATAAGTGTTAGGTAGCTGTTAATGAGTTTTGAACCATATTTTTTATAGAGAAGGGTAAAACTTTTTCTTTCTTGGATTCCTATTCTTTTCTTCATATTTCATGCTGTCAAGAGTGTCACTTTAATTTTTAAAGTAGACAAATATAGAAGCAGATCTGCCAATACTTACAAAAAAGAGTATCTCACTTCACCTAAACAGGATATATGAGGCCGCGTCAACACCGCCCCCAAACACCTTCAAAATCCCCCTAACGGCATTGCCAATATTTCTATTAAGTCTCATTTCATTAATACTAGTTATGTGGACCCAGTTGCAGCCAAATTTAGAACTAAGTTAATGTAATAACTCCATCCCCTATTCCTATGTTATTGGCATTTATTATTCGGATTCAAATTGTATATGCTACAGTACAAAGACTTCTATGCAATCAATATAATTTAACATGTAAGAACATATTACTCCCTCCGATCCAAAATAAGTGATTTTTAGCTGTTTTCACATAGATTAAGAAATCCACCTTTTAGCATTAATTAGCAATGAAATTGACCATATTAGTCTTTACTATCTCTTTACATAAACACTCCTAACACATATTCCAACACTATTTACTCCAAGGGCAATGTAGGAAAAAAATAATTAATTCATTCTTGAAATCTGAAAAAATCACTTATTTTGGACCGCAAAAAAAGGCCAAAAAATCACTTTTTTGACCGGAGGGAGTAGTTATGTAGTATTTTTATCAAATTATCAATTAATATTTATCACAACAATTTACTTATAATTATCTTATAAATTACCAAGTAACTCTTATCATAAATCCTCAACGTAATTTGATTTTATAATTATTTTTTATATCGTCAATGCACAAAATATTGTTATATTTTCCTTCATCTTCCTTTCTCATTATAACAATACCGTTTTGGATCCCCAAACCAAATGGTCTTCTCCTCACACTTAGCCATTATTAACAACGTAATTTAAGTTTTATGCACCTATAGTGTAAAGTTTTTATTAATTGCAAGTAATTTTTTTTAAAAAATAATTAATTTTTTAAATTCTTTGATGTATATAATTTAATTAAATTATTAACAATATAGTACTAATATTCTAGTAACTATGCATATAGTAAAACTAACACCTTCTCACATAACATGTCCAACTAGTAAATTACTTACGCTAGTACTCCCTCCGGTCCAAAATAAGTGATTTTTTGGCCTTTTTCTTGTGGTCCAAAATAAGTGATTTTTTCAGATTTCAAGAATGAATTAATTATTTTTTTCCTACATTGTCCTTGGAGTAAATAGTGTTGGAATATGTGTTAGGAGTTTTATGTGAGATAGTAAAGGTTAATATGGTCAATTTCATTGCTAATTAATGCTAAAAGGTGGATTTCTTAATCTGTGTGAAAACATCCAAAAAAAAAAAAATCACTTATTTTGGACCGGAGGGAGTAATATTCTATTAACCATGCACATAGTGAACTACTCCAATCACCTCCCCCCATGTCCAACTTGATCACTCACCTAGTTTTCATCCAACCCTTCTCAAATCTCTAAGCCTCCCCCCCCCCCCCCCCCCC